TCCCTCCCTCACTCCCTCCCTCCCTCTCCATATAGAAGGAAAGAATTGCAATATTTTTTTGTCCAGAGTTTAAATTCTCCAATGCATCACTTTAATCTCTTATCATCTTTACTCATATTTCAAGGAACTAAACATGTAAAGGCTGAAAAAGAAGCTATAAAATTGTAAAATATTATTTTTCTTAGTTCATATCTCCCACCCACACCTGTTCTACTTCAGCATCTGCCCTCCAGCACCATCAGGGCAAGACTGAGTCATGGAAAAACTGTAGTTGTATGATAACTACAGATAGAAACTTTTAAGTTACTTGATTTAGCCGCTAGCAATCCTTCCAAGATTAAAAAAGTGGCTTCCTCTCTTGCATGATGCCATGATGCCATCTAAAAGTTTCATGTACAACTTTAATCAACAGGATGGTAATTGTGCAGCACTAGCATCTCATACCCAAACTTTTTGAATCTCCTGTTCTTGAGCTGCCATGGAGAACTTTTTGTCTTGCTGAACTGTGAAGTTTGTGAGATAGCCACAATATCCCTTTGTGTTCCTCCAATGCACAGAACTTCAGGTGACTTAAAGATACATACAGAGCTGTACTAGTTTCAGTCAAGGCCTTATGTTATTTGAAACATTTCCTGAAGCAGGAAAGAGAAAACAATTACTTTGAAGCAAAGTAATCTGGATTTATAGCATCTCCACATAGCTGAAATACAGAAGTCATAACACATGAACACACACTGTGTCTATGTACATGTATTACACAGTATGAAGGATGTATGAACACAGTTCACTTTATGATGAGGTAGAGAAAAATATTTGAAATACTATGTACAAAAAATGAAGCTGAGTTCCAACATAGAAAAGTTCAACTCTTCATTTGATTCAACTACTAAGTATGGAGAAGCTTGAGATAAACCTACTCTTTACACCTAATCAATTTTAATTTGGCATTTGAGGTACAAATGCTGAGTTGCAATGAAGGGAAAGAGCTGCCAAGTGAATATTTCTGATGAAAACTACCAAATTGAGTAATATCTGGTTTCATTTTAAAATTATAACTTGTTACTGAGAAGTGTTTGGGTAAGGTCTAGAAAAATACATACAATGAAAGTATAAGCTTTGAGTTTTTAATGACTTCTTTCACCTGAGAATTTATCTCTGAACTGTAATACTTGATAGTCATCAGTCAGTATTCACTTGTTCCAAGAATCCAAAATGAAGATGCATAACCCAAGTAACCAAGCACATCTGAAGTGCTGAGTGCTACACTGCTTAATGTGCATTCAGCAAAGTATTTCACAGCTTTTGATTAACAGCTCTCAGTCAACTTATTGATTACATACAGATATATAAGAAATAGGAGCTAAAAATGGCTGTTTTTCAGGCAATTTATTTATCAAAACAGGGGTGTTACAGTCATAACATTATTCATTAAGAGTAGCTTGAATAATTGACCTGAAATGCATTATTTAGCAGGAATAAATATTTAAAACCAATGTATCTAATCAAAGGTGATTTAACCACTGCTTGTCACCAAAGAATTCATTGACAATTGTCCTTTCCTGTTGAATGAATCAACATAATGAACAACTGCTGAAGTAAAAGGATTCATCATTTATCATTAGAACAATATAATATATGTGTGAGAATGTTAAATTCATCCTAGAGACATCTCAGTTTTATTAAACCAGTGCATTAAATACAATGGAGAAATAATTGTAGCAATAGAAAGAACAATCACTTAAATGTCATTAAAACAGCAATTAGTCGTGGAAAAGTTACTAGATTGACAAATCTCTACTCACACCAGGCACTTTTTATCTGCTGTTTCTTTTAGGCTATGAAGATAATGGAGAAGCTAGAGAAATAAAAGAGAGAAGATGAAAAATTGTTCGGAAAAAACAGTAAGTAACCAAAGGATAGAAATCCAAGATTTAAGTCTGTCTTTTGGTGCATTTTAATTAGTCTGGCCAGTTTTATATGCTCTAAGGAAGATAAATATCTGAATCCCACAAATTCATAACTTTTGGTATAAAAAAAAATTGACCTTCAAGTTTAGAGCACTGGGGGGGAAAAAAAAGGAAAGATTAAATTTATGTTGGCAATCTTCCATTTTATAACCTATAGACATGTAAGGTACATGCAATACAGGTCACGATGGATCTATGTATAGTCATTACAGACATGTGTTTGTATGGGTCTTCTGAATGTGAAGGGCATAATGTTTTGTTTAGCAAAACCCAGTCCAGCAGGAGTCCAGGCATGCAAGGGACTTTCTGTGTAAGTTAGAGTAGCAATAAGGTGTTTGCTTCTGGGACTTTTGCAGTGTTCCTTTTTTTTCTCAATGGGTTATGTCTTGGTTTACTGTAAAGGTAGAATGGAAGTAAAGAAAGAAAGCTTCACAAAGTTTTGCTTTCCAAAGATATCTTTTTTTATCCTTTTTTTTTTTTTTTTCTAACTAAACCTGAATGAGCAGAACAAATATGTATTGTATTAGTGATTTTCCTTGGAGAGCCATGAGTGATGACTGTGAGATATGGGATAGAAACTAGGATGAAATAAATGATGCTGTATTGATGATATTGTTTTATCATGGTGTGAAGCATTAGCCGGTTCTTTACTCAGCAAGTCAGAGAAGGAACTACAGTGTTATAGTAGATGAGTTTTTAGATATCATACAAAAATCTCTCTAGAGTATCTGATTCATTTGTTTGGCTTATATGCTCAGGATCATATTGTTCACTTAATTTAGAGTCAGACAGAAACTTCCTTCTTGATTAGACTGATAAATTTCTAATCCTGGTTTTGCTTCCACTATCCAGCCTTTCTGTAAAATGTATATCACACTTCTTATAATCATTTGGATATCATCTCTTGAAAACACCCCAGGCTTTTTTCTGCTGATTGTCCCTCAAAATCTGCTAAGAATACAAAAGCAAAAGCCTCTGAGTCATGAGAAATATAATCAACATTGTAGTAAATGAAAGAAAAAACCTGTTGGTGTGTCTTTTTTGGTGATGTTTGTTTCTTAACATAGCACCAACCAAATATAGGTAATAATGTCACAGGTGTTCCAGATGTTTTCTTCAAATTTTGTCTAGTGAAAATCTAGCTTGATCAAAAATATTAGACTTAATAAATTGGACTACATATGCTAAGTGATCATTTATGGTGAAACTAAGTGATCTAATGGTTCCTCCTGGACTTAAGCACAGCTGAATGCAGAAGTTGATCGAGGGAAGAACAACTCATTTCTTTTTCACACAGCAGCAGGGTCTGGCTCATAAATAAGTATCAGACATGAAACCTATTATTTAAGCATCTAAGGTCTTTGTTTCTTTCTTTCAAATCTAAATTTGGAAAAACCTGTCTACTTATATCATCAAGTGTATATCTTTACTTGTTTATCAAAACTTTTAGTTCCAATTCCTTCCCTTTTCCAATGCTTATTCTGCTAAAAGTGTGTTTCATTTCATGCAGGCAAACTTAGAAACCTGTCCTCAAGACAAAGATTTTTTTCTGTGTGAACCAAGACAGAATTACCCTCTTCTGGTAGGTAAACTCCCTTGAAGGATCATCAGGGAGGAATTTCCAGCCAATCAAGCTCTGCACACTTAACTCAGTGGGTTACAGTGGTTGACTGAAGCCAGCACATATGAACATTTGCTTCCAGTGCTCCTTCCTGAGGATGTACAATGCAGCACCTGACATTGGATCAGCTCTCAGCAGCAGACATTCCATTGTTGCAAAAAGTATGTGTGTGGTACAGATGTACAGAATTACAAGAACATGTAAAAGAAGAAAATAATCTGTTTGGTTTTTGTAGTTAAAGGGCACGGAATGATTCACACAAACATGTCTCAGTGGTATGATGAGAAAAGAAGTAACTTTATTTTCTGACTCCAGTACTTACAGATTCTTGACAATGACCAGGGATTGGATAACTAAGTTACCACCTTCCCAAGCACACTGGTGATGTGAAACGTCCATCAAAAGACGTTTCTTAGAAGGAATGTGTAAAGACTTTATGTTTATGGTTACTTTCTTGGGAAAGTAACTAAAACTACGAAAACAAGATCAGAAGGTTTAGTATTCAGGGTGACAGGTTTTAATAATCTAGATTCTAAAATGTTCTCTTGAATTTCCTGGCAGAAATCAGCTAATTTTCCAACAAACTCTCTAGTCCCACTCTAAATTGTAAGTATAAAAAAGGGCGCTTTTTTATAAAAGCACATTTACTTCAGTAATGCTTTCATGCAGTTCACAAATCAAATAGGCATCAAAAAAGCCATGATCCCTTTGTTCTTGGCAATTATCAGAGGATTTGTCTGCAAATTTTGATTATTTTCATTATTTCTGCACAAATTTGGCTATATGACTGAATTCTGTGTGGGACAGACATCTTCAAAGAAGACATGAAAGACTCTGATCTGCTGCAGACCCCCTCAGCACTGTGCCAACATAGCATTTGCAGTAAATACTTGCAAACAAGGCATAGAAGCCACCCTAGAGAATCAACAGACTCTGTTTTCACTCCCTTTCTGTTATGTATTTTTTTCATTCAGGTAGGGTGTGAAAAGGAGGAAAAGTGAACATTACAGAGGCTAGAGAAGGGCTTCCTTAACAAAACGATGACCATGTCCTTTTCTCTCTCTGATCTTTAACTTCTGCACGCTGAAGTCCCTGTCTCCAAAACACTGTATGCAAAAGAAAGCCCTTTAATCCATTTCATCTATCTTATAAAGGCATCTGTTTTACAAAGTTGTTTTAATGCTGTCATTCATGACTGAAATAATTCATTTTTTCAAAAGTTATTCTTCATATGAAAATAAAATTTCCGTAATAATATAAGTATTAGATGATTTATACTGAAGAGCATTGCAATGTAAATTGTATCAATGATAAATTTAATTACAGAATGACTGAGCTCTAATTCTTTTTAACTCCTGGTCTTTACTTTCAATAACCTGAAGTATAAATTCAATATAAATTTGACTCTTTTTTTGATCTGGAGATTAGTTTGAACCCCTCACTCCCCCGATCTACATTTCTATATTTGTAGTTGTATTTCAAGCAGATACCACTATCATTAACTACAATGAACAAACAATTGATTTATTCAAAATCACATTCACATTTCCTCATATTTCTAACATTCAAGAGTATTTGAAAAATATCATGGCAAAAAAATTAGTTTTCCTTGATAGCCAGTCTATACATCCTCACTGGCTTTTGATTTCAGGTCAGCTCATAATGCAAACATAGTTCTAATCTAAGTCTATAAACAGCAAATAAAATTTTTCATTTCTGGAGTTCCTAGTCCATTGTGAGATTTCTGTTTTGGTGGGTAGTTGGTCTTAATGCAGACTTAGAATAACTTCATCAGTATATTTTATTTTATTTTTTTTTTGATAGAAAGGATCACAAATCAATTTGCTGACAAAAGAAAATAAATAATTAAGAGTTTTATGTGCTTTCTCTTATTTGTATGGATGCATAATTATAATGAGCATTGCCACCTATTTGACTGAATAATTAGAGATTCCCCAGAGAAACTTAATAGTCTCAATGGCTTTGTTCTTCAAATTTAAACCGCAAAGCAAGGGAATAAAGTGTTGTCATGCCCTTTGTGTGAGGAACACATGGAGTTGTAAAAAGCCGAGAGAACATGTGTACATTTTTTAAGTCATTAGGTGTAATTTTCTGTCTGTAGTCAAAAGAAGAATGTCTTTGTTCATATAGCCTTCAGAAACAAAATTTCAGCCAGAATATTCCTGGTCCTAAGTATTTATAATCAGTATCTTCTAAATCAACTTGTTGTATTTCCTTATACACAAACACTGAAACAACCAAATCCTTTTCACGTGAAAATCAAAGTTTTACCTGGGATAGAAAAAGTGTAAAGAGGAAAGGTGTAAACAGTATGTTTACAGTCCTTGCAAACTGAAAGAATCTCTTATAAAATAAAACATATCTTTTTTTTTGCTTTTTAAACTTTAAAATTAATTGCCATAAATGAAAAAGAAATTTTGTTAAGATTGTCCTTATTCTCAAAAACAATAACAAAGGCAGGTGCTGCTTTTTTATTAATTGGAAGAGATATTTTAAGATCTAATATGGGAATTGTCTCTTTTGTTATTTGTCTCTTTTATTATTAATTATTCTCTATTTGTTTTCTGTATTGAGCAGTACTTCAAGGCAAGCAAATTCTGTGATGCAGAAGAATTTCATGACTCATAGCCATATTTTGATGGGCAAATACATTTAGACAGCAAAATTGTGAAGAAAAGGTTCCCCTGTTTATAGTTAGATGATATGTAAGTAGGCTTAATAAAAACAGAATTGATTCCTATAGTGGATTTTTTTGTCTTAAATTTAAAAGGTTTTAGTAAAAAATTCTCACTTCTGTTGTAGAGCAAAATCACATTGGTTCTTGCAGAGGTGACAGATATTCTGTGACAGAAATGTCTGTCCACTGATGCTTTGGATTGCAGCAAATCTTAAGATGAAAGACTTTTGTCTGAAATGGAGTACTGATGCATGCCTGAAGCATGCCTGATTTAAAAATGTATACACAAGCATGCAGGTTTTAAATTATGATATTTTTTTCCTTCAGTATTGAAAGATTTAAGTCATTACCATGGAAACTGTTTGCATCAGATTACTACTTTTTTCTCCAGCTATTTCAGTATCATTAAGTCCTTGCTAATACTTTATTATTCACTATCTTTTAAACCCACACGAATTTCAGTATCTAATTTACTTAACAAATTGTGTCTGACAAAAGAGAAAAACTTATAGTACAATAAACAACACTATTAATTACTCTGTGGAGCAGTGAGACACTATGTTTGTCAGCAACGTTACGCCTTCAAAATAATGGCACCCAGTAATTAAGTATGAACATATTCTATTATTAGAGCATATATCCTTTTTCTTTCATTTATTTGTAATAGAGAATAATGAAGTTGAATTTATTATAGCTGTAGCCTTTATCCTGCTAAAACAAAGCACAAGGAAAAGAAAAAGCATTCAGCCTGGGAACATATAAGAAAAATTATGTCGCTATGGCAACCAAAATGTCCTTTGTTATACTTTACTCATTAAAGCATTGGAGATTATGAAAAGATAAAAAAGTCTTCTAAATTTAGAAGGTCATCAGTTACAAAGTGTTTCTTTCTGAGAGACCAGGTGGTTACAGTTTGAGGACAGTATCTTAAACCTCTTATTTATGTGATCAACTCCTTTGTGTAGAAATTTTCATTCATATTATGAAATCTTCCTGCTTAAGCAATTCCTACAGAGGTGATATTAGGATCAAATTCCTATCTTGGAAACACCAATTTAAATAAACTTTAGCCTAACTCTAATTGTCTTCGGCATCACACCAAAGAAACCAAGATAAGATGTTGACCTCTACTCAGAGAAAAGCTGAAATCTGCTTGAAGCTTGTGACTTAGTGAAAATTGAATATTATAAGGAGAGTGAACAGTTCCTTAACTAGTTTCTAAAGACTATGGAATATACCTCTTTGAAAACAGAGCATTTACTTTGGGACCAAGTTGGATAGTGCGTTCTGGAATCTGCATGTGCAGATAAAGGGATTGGAAGGAGAAATCCTTGGCAAGAAAAAGAGAAAAATCACCAAAATGTTCAAATTTGCTTTTGAGAGTTGTGAGTTGTCTTGGTTTTTTAGACCTGGTGAGAATAAGTGCCATTTCTATTCTTCTCTAGCAGGTACCTGAGCAATGACATTGAATTGAGAGTTGAATTACAATGACATTGGGCTGGCTCACATAATTCATAGCCATGTTATTCAGGATTGTGGTGAGTAACAGTTCTCTTAGTGCCTTTGCTATACTGCATGTCCATTTATGTAATTATTGCTATCAGATTGCTTTTCGTCCTTATCATTATGATAATTTCTATCTTGTAAACTAGATGCTTCATGTGTTGTGATGCTTTTTCTTCCCTTTAGAAAAAGTTAATTTCAGCCTTTTTCAAGAAAAAAAAGTAACTAAATGTTTACATTTGCATCATGACCCCTGGTATTGCTGAGAGCAATTGTGCTGGCAGAGTTATTTAGGCCTTTTGAGAGCTGCCTTTAGGAAAGCCACTTAAGTTGGCTCCAACGCCTTTCCCTGGATTCTATTGATAGTGCCACTGTTAAGCGTATATCCCAAACCCCCCAAGAAAACATAAAGTACCATAAGTGCGCTGATTTTGTTGTGATCTTGTAATACAACTGTCCAGGAGATATGAATAATTTAATGCAGAATTTTCTCAAGACCCTAGTTTGCACTTTCATCCTGCCTGTTTGGTAAAGCCCTCATGTTCATTGCCACCAGTAACCTCAAGGAGCAGGGATTGTGATTAAATGTATTCATGAAGTTTGTCTTGTGCTCTGACAACACAGAATGAAAAAGGTAATGAGGAGGAAGCTGTCACAAGTTAATTTTCTTAAATGTTATGTTCTTTAGTGCTTAGTCACCTCTCATGATAGTCCTAATCACCTAAATACTAAAATAGACATAATTTTCTAGAGAGATGAGTCCAAAGCTCAGAAACTATGCTGATGCCTCCATGAGAGATCAGTCTAGAACTGTAATCTAATTGTTGCTTCTTTTTCTCCTTCAAAAAATAATGTGAGCTGTGAAAGCACATTCTCAAGGGAAAATGTCTTTTTCCAGATCCTAAAGGTTTGTCTTAAGTACTGTCAATTTTTCTGTCTTTATTGCTGTAGTATTTTCTGACGGAAAAGGAATCTTCGAGGAGCTCAGGCAATTTGTTGAATACTTTTAAAGAAAACCATCTGTTTCCTCTGCTGTATTTCAAAGCCAAAAGCACTAAGTTGGCCTCAAAATTGTTGTGTCTGGTCTGGATGATTGTCCAAGCTGAACTCCAAGCTTTGGAGCTGCTATTAGTTACAAATACTAAGTTCATAGAAAATTGCATAAAGAACCATGTGATCATCTGTGCACCATCATTTGTATTGCTGCTGATCCCTTTGTGCTTTGCTTCCAGACATTGCAGTGCTATTTTGGAGGCGAGATGCCACTGAAAAAGCAATGATGTCAACCTTTTCCATCATTCTTGTGGATGCAAACAATAGGGATTTATAACTGAAAGCTGATTTCACTTGCTTCCTTTTTTCCTGGGCATCCCTGTATCAGCAGCCTTGCAGGAGACTTTGTATTTCAGAAATTAGGGATTTAGGCCAAACTGTGTCTGGTCTGTTGGGTATTGTTCTTGGAGCTTGGAGAGCCCTTATCTTGAAAGTATTGTCACCTTAGCAATCTGTGCATAAATCCCCCTGGTCCAATTACTGATACAGGTAGGAATGGACTTTTAAATAAGAATTTAGTTTTTTCATAGCTGAAAATAGCCATAGATGGACTGCTGCCACCAGCAGTACTTTTCTCCAAATGTTTTTGAAGTCATGTATAAGAGCCCAGATTTCCAGAAACACATAGCTCACACACTTGTGAGCAGTGCTGGTTAAAATTGTCTTGAAAATTCAGCACTATACCAGACTTACACACTGCTCATTCCAAATGCCATCTTTGTTTCTTCAGTAGTCTGCCACACATATATAAATACTTGGGCTCTATTATTTAAATGTCATGAGGATAATGATATATGAGCAAAGAGAATCCTGTTTTGAAAGAATCAATCAATCAGCTATAACAAAATGAACACCTGCAATAAGACAGTAATTATAATAAGCACTAGAGCTGGATAAACTTTTCCTCTGATCCACATAAAACATGAATTCAGCATTTGTTTTTGGTTTTGGATTTTTTTTATCAAATCAATTTGGCCAAAAAATAAAGATGTTTTTCAGCTTAAACATTATTTTATTTAGAAATTTAGATTATGTCCACACCTTTTAAGGCAGTTATTTAAAATGGCATTTACTGCATTTAACTTTGTCCAAATAAATAATGATGTTCAGGTATCTAATTATCTGCATCTCTAGGAGCACTTCCTTTTATTTCTAGCCCTGAAGCTAGTGAAAAGAGAAGTGAGAGACTTATTTCTAAATATTTTTCATCTTTATATAGCTGCTCACAGAAGTAGGATGAATCATCTTCCAAATAAACCTGTTTCCAGTGATTGTACATGGAGCACATGTTGCTCAGTCTAAGCATTTGAGTGTCAGGTTGCATTGTTTTACCTGAAACCCGCCTTATTTTCCCTCCACCCCTTCTCTTTTTTTTGTTTGGCTTGTTCAGTCAGCAATCCAGAAACAAAGAAAGACAAACAAACAAACAAACAAACATACAAAAACATCAACAAAACCAAACAAAAAATCTCTCCAAATAGATTTTTTCTATAGCTCTATAAATGTTAAATATGCTAAATATTTCCATCACAGTAATACTAATTGTCACAACCAATTCCAGGCCTGTTGTGTAGGGCCATGTACAAACTGGTTGAGCCCATTCACAAACTGTTTATTGTCTCTTACCATGGGTAAAGTAAAACAAGGAGTAGGGAGGATTCGATGTCAGTCATAACAACTGAGTCTTTTAGTATCAATAGTAACAGTAATCACTAAAGAAATAAAAGCAAATTGGCTGATCAGATCTTTGTTTAAGGCAATGCAGAGGGGAAAGACAGAAAAAGAAGCAAATAATGTAATATATATTACATTACATATTACATTAAGATGAATGATTGCACCATTTATAATTAAGAAATATGAGATGCTCATACTGCAGGCATGTAAAATGAATCTGAATTCAGTGAATCTATCTTTCCATCTAGCCAAGTTTAATATCTCACCAACACTCATGATTTTAGCAAGCTAGCAATCTTGAAATAGATCTGACTTTAAAAATTGCCAGATTCTTAGCACCAGAGTATTAGAACTATAAAGGTAATTCAGATTAATCTGAATATGATTTTTTTCATAACATGGAGACTGAGAAACTAGAATCAAATGTCCTGGAAAAAGCCCCTTAAATCAAATCTCGTTAATTAGGTTCAGCTTTGGGCACAGGAGGACAATGCAGATAATGTCATGGGTTGGTCCCAGCCATGGCTGTATGGTAGAAATCAAATAAACCAAATTTCAACAGCACAACAAATAAGAAAGTTCTCATCCACTTATTATAAATGTGATAAATTTTGTCCTTCAGACAGTTTGAAAGGATGATGCTGTCATCCATTTTTACCTCAGGGAATTTTTCAAAACACCACAGCAATAGATGCCATCTGTGAGGAAAACATGAAAGATACTATGTGTAATTGCCCTTGGGATATTAAGGGATATACTACAATCCTCTGGTGTCATGTTTTTCCCTAGCAGCCCTGAAACGGTGCAACATATAATGAATGAAGAAGTCAAAATATGATTTTGAAAAGAAAATTCATGTGGAAAGGGTTTAGTTTTTTTTTTTTCTTCCCACCCCACAGTGCTTTCCTATACAGAGGTGTATCCCTGGGTTGGCTGTGGTCATGGGGACCCAGTGTGGGATAGAGGGTGCTGCTATGGGGCCCTTGGAATGTTGTGGGGCACCCAGTGTGGCCATCAGGCACCCAAATTTGTCATTAGGGTTTAGGGTTAGGGTTGAGGGATTTTATTTGCAGGGAATAACTTCAGGGGCTTACCAGAAAGACTACATGTAAGAAACTATCCGTTTTGCAGAGGATTTGTACCTAGTGGTACAGGTGTTTTCATGTTTGATTGCCAGAAACATATCCTATCATCATGTAGACATAATCCTCACAACTTCCTTCTGTGCCTGTGCCCTCCACTTTTTACTGGACTTCTAGAAGCAGGAACCAGCAGGCTGCACTGCCCTCTCCCTTCTGCTCTGATAGTCCAGGCGTTCTAGTCTCATGCTAACCTGGTCAGGCACAAACTGATTCTAATACACAAGTAATAACTGAAATCAACCAAATTTCTATACCATGAAGGACTGGCTGAAGAATACACACAAAACTTCAGTTTATTCTTAGTTTCACCATTACTAATGAGGTAATTTGTGTTTGCAGCTGAACGATATATGTACTGCTACAGATCACTGAACCATTTCAAGTTACTGAGCTAGTGCTACCTGGTGATTCAGATAATGGATTGGCACTTGAGATCTTCTGGAAAGGATGAAGAGTAAGTAACTAAAGTGGCTTAGCATTTGTTTCACTATCTATTAGTGTTTTGTATTATGATGCACATTTTCCAACATCAGGTATGGAGAAGTAGAGGTTATTGTCTCTACAAAAGAGAAGGGGGGTTCTTGTTCTACCATTTCTGACTTGTGACCAGCTAAACAACACACAAACAAACAAAACTGAACTTAACTTTATTCAGCTTATAGAAAGGCACTGATGACATACATAATTGATACTTCCTGTTGAATCCTAACCCAATTTCATCCTGACTTTTCCACTCCCCTATAATCTTGGAATGTTTATGAGTGACAGTTGCACCAATTTTATACAAGCTACCACCCACAACCTAGAACTACCAATGTAAAGCTTTTTTGACAGACTGTTATCAGAAAGGAATTTCTGTATAGTCAGTGGGATCTGGTTTAAAAGAAAAATGAAAATATGTTAGCTGTTATCTTTATTAGTTAAAATAGAAATTCTGATGGAAAATCAGAAGGTTTTAATATTAAACTCCTTACTTCGTGAGTCTATTTCATCCTGGTAATGCTATAAGTTCCCTCTGCAGCAAAGAAAAAGTTAGAGCCCTCCACAAACTTATTTGCTTACTCTGAATTTGAGCTCAGAAGTATTTCTGCATTTTATTCTCAATAGAAATTACGTATGTAGATTAATCTCCCAGTCTGGATTTAACATAAGAATACTCCACAACATGTTATTTTTACCTATAGCCACGCTACTAAACCAGGATCAGTTCTAAAATCAGGACCAGCCTGTAGATCCAGAGACAAAAGTAATGCCCTACTGCATCACATACATGTGTAAGGGGCACTGGTGTCCTAAACTGTGTTTCAGTCCTCACTGAAGCACCACACTGCTAATGAAAAAATTGTAATGGGCTTCTCTTTTCAGCTGTGGAAATTTAACTTCCAATTGGTACATATGTCCTGCAAGTATATATCACCACGTTTTACACAAAAAGATTTCAGCCTAGAAGATAAAAATAAATAAAATGTGAGCATGCTGAGACATTTGTCAACTTGGAGTTGAAATTTTATATTACTCATATTTTTCTTATAAAATCTCTACATGTAAAAAAGTTCTCTTTGACATAGAGTTTGAGTCTCTGTGCAAAGTCTGAATTTTATGAATTCATGGTAGAAATCATGGTAGAAAGCTTGAAAATAAGGATGATAATATTGGCATCAGCAGCTACAGCAGCACAAACAAAATGAATAGGGATATACTGAGATCTGAGATATAAGGTCACATAATATTCTGCAGAGCTTTGGAGGTGAGAATGAGAGCTTTAATATGATGGCAAAGAAGGAAATTAAGAAAGGAATTGCAAGGATGAATTTATAGATAATGACTGATAGGAGAAAAAAATTATTACAAATACCAAGAAATTCTATTTTCGAATATTTGCCTCCTACTTTTAGCATACAGGTTTTTTTATTGCAAATGTGTGTACTAACTTTTCATTATTTTTCATATGCATGTTAGAACGATGCCCAGTATGGAAAAAGTTCATATGAAATGTGCTCAGGCTTGTGCATTCAAAGTGTTCCTTAACTTTTCCTTCAGATGTGACAGAAAACAATAGCTTTCCAACACTTGCAAAGGAAGTGGCTTGAAAAAAAAGAAGACATGGATATCTATGCTTTTTTATGGATGAAAGTCTGTCTGATTTGTAGTGTAATAGTTTTTTTGAGCCTTACTAATGATGTGTATTTTGTTTAGCACAAATAACCTGTTGTGTATACTGGCAGGAGCTGTGAACAGTCTCGTAGGTAATCTGACATGGTGTTTCTGCTCCTGTCCCATTTTACCCCACTAATCTTCAGCTACGAGAACAGCCAAGTTCTGGATTATGGGTCCTGGTGTGACCTGTTGTGAAATTAAATTTTGTTACAGGTGTTCTGTTTGATTTTTAGTTATGAAAAACACAACACATTTCTTTAATTGCACCAGATCCCATTTGGTTTAACTGGGAAAGACAAAACAGCCACCATGTCCAAGTGTACCTAATTTCTGTGACTTTGAAAAACTGCAGTTTTATTTAAAAAAAAAAACAAAAAACAAAAAACAACTGCAGTTTTATTTTGTTGCATCTTTAAATATTGTGTCTATGCAGTGGAACATAAGCAGCTAAAACTCACTGACAGGATTAGTCATATTGGTGTGGTTTCCACACACACAGACACAACGCAATCAGAAGTTGTTACTTCTTAAAGCAGTAGTAGCATTTTTCTGGCTGCATCTGGCACATTATATGCAACAGTGAATTCTCCAAATATCATGATTTAACCACATGGTTTTCACTTTTATCCCACCAAGCCTACACAATCATTCTGACTCAAACACCTGCATCTATTGTAACAAATATGGATTAAAAATGAGGACAATACAAAATACTGATGTGAAAGGGTTAGCATAAACTTCATCAGCACCAGGACCCAGTGGCTAAGAAGTGTTGGTGACCTGGTTCCAGTTAGAGGTTAGCAAAAATCTTCTGCTCTGAAACAGAGAAAAAATTGCAATTTGAAAACTTTGATGAAGCTGTCAGGCTCTGAAAGTCAGAGACTACCCTGGGGACAAAGATAATATTACTGGGTAGAACAAGGCCTTTTGGTAAAGAAAGATTCATTCTCTTAGAGGTGTGGGTGGAGGATAAAAATTCTTTTAAGCTATTTTCTGATGGAATTATATTGTCAGAGGTTTTGTCTCTCTTGCTTTTAAAATATACACGGAACAAGGACATCATTAATATGACAATTTCATAATGAACTTTTCAGCTGTTCTCAGCTGAAGAAGGGAAAAACCTGTTTCCTAACTTACATTCAAATACACTTTTAATTGAATGGGTGGTTACTTCTTCATTTGAATAGACTATATTTTTTCCTTTCGAACATCCAAGGGAATAAGAAACAAGGTATGTAGAAAACTTACTGAGAGGTATTAGAGGAACAGATCAGAAAGAAAATTTTAAAGTAGATCAATCACGGAAAAAAAGTTTAGAAGAAACTTTAGTAGATCATCTAGTTCACTTCATATTTTTTACCTCTAAACTTGACAGATAGGCAGTCTAAATATGAAGGACAGTGTTACCTCTGCTTTGATGTTGTGTGGCAGTATTTCCTTCCTTCTTCCTTTTACTCAAATGTACAAGTTGTCATATAAACAAATCCTCATCTGTGACACCTATTATTTTATGAATGTTCATAATCTTAGCATTTAGTGCACATGCCTGAAATTAATTTGTGCTGTGAACATTTGTTGTAAGAACTAAACCAAAATCAGAATCTTTTCTGTGTCCCAAAGTGCAGTGGCTGAGATAAACTGTAAAAACATCAATTTTTCCTAGACTGAAAATATCTGTGTGACGTTAGAGTTGTTCAGCCTGATAGGAAAGATATTTGTTATGAGAGAAATACTGAAGAACAGGATTTGGCAAAGTCCTGGAAAAAGTTTTGGTAAAAACAAATGAAATGTCAGGCTTACTAAAGCACATTTTTTAAGTGCTATGCCATGGCACTATGTGGATTTTAAAAAGAATGATTATATTACAGAAATGTAATATATGTCAATGATTTGGGGACTGAATGAGGCCTAGATTCCAACACATGTCTAGTACCATGCCAATACTTATTTTTATAGAAGGTTGCTGGGATATTTGAGAACCATTTAGTAATTACTGATAGCCAATACTTAATGTGTGGTTGTGACAAGGCAGTTTGTTCTCTTTTTTTTTTTTTTTCCTTTAAATTTATGTATTATGCTCAGTTTTTCAGTGTACACTAGTGGTAAATCTCAGTTTATTACTCTTGTAGGACTGAAGACAGAATAATCTCCTTATATTAAAAATTAAATGCAAAGAGCAGAGTGAAAAATTATATATTTTAAAGATTCTAACAGAGACTCCTGTGGTTTGAGCAACTTTTGTTGCCACGGTAACTGTATGCAGTATTTTCATAAAGTTTTTTTCTCTTTCTTTTGTTTTTCTTTTTTATTTGAAAAAGTTAAAGTAAGAACATTTGCTTAATAACTAAATATTTCTTTTTTTTAATTTTATGTTTTGAACTGTCCAGATGTCAAAATTTTAAATAAAAGTCTTTGATCATCTGAAATGGTGGCAGAAATGACAAAGAAAGAGCTACCATATGGATGATGCTCTGGTCAGAAAAAAATAGTGTATTATCATTTTTGCTTCCCATAACTTTTTCATGAGATCTGTGTAAAAATCAGCTAAAAAGTTGACTCATACCTAGTTATCTTCTTCTGTTATGTGAATTTGTCCATCCTTCTACTCTTTTTCCTGTAGGTCAACCTCTTCTCAATCCCTCCATGCCATCCTTTTCCATGGATCTTCCAACTTGAATAGAAACTCTGCACTAAATTCCTGAGCTTTAAGGAAGGTATTCTCAGCATCTACAAGGTAAGCAGGTGGCAGGGAGAGGTAGCTGATCTCTCCAGTTTAATTCAGACCCATCTAGCTGCATACTGACCCCATTATACTCTTCCAGTGCCCTCCAAGTGTTTGTCATACACAGTGTTCCAAATTTTCTGCAGCCTCAATAAAGCAGGAATCTGGACTGGAACCAACAGTACAGTAGGTGCACAGCCTAATGTGAAACTGAACTACTTGACTTGTCCACTTCTGCTACATAACACAATTATTTCTCAGCAATGGACACCACACTTCTTGTTTTCTAAATTGAATGAATATTCATGCAACTATCAAGTAGGTCATTAGTAATTTGGCATTTGGAACTTCAGATGCTGAATTCAAATGAAACGGGGTTTATATACTTCAAACCACCACTTTCACTCCACCTTATGCTTTTTCCCTGAACAAAAAGACAAGGCTGAATCTTCATTTGCCAGCTCTGTGTGCATCGTGTTCATGTTGCTGGTTCTTTTCAAGGGAGATAAAAGGCAGATTTTATGCCATGCATTGCAATGGCAATAATAAATTGTAAAAAAATGTAATACACTCACATTATTTTAAAACTGCCTTCAGGACTTTCAACTTGGTCATATCTTTAAACAAAAAAATTTGACAAGTTTGGGTAATTATACAGACCCAAGATATATAATTCGGTCATTATTAATTCCTGAAAAGTCATAGGCAATATAGCTAATAATACTGATAGGAAGTGATTTGTTTTATTTCATACAGAAATGTGATTTTAAATTTGCTTGTCCAGGATTGGTGTAAACTTTGTCTGACTGTAAACAATTCATACAATGGGAAAAATAAAAATAAAAAAAAAAAGGAAACCCGAAAATGTTTATAAGACTTTCAGAGAGAAGACTCTTAGATAAAAGAAACAAAATTCACTGTAGAGACTGCCCCTTGTTTTGGGTTTGCCTCCTGTTCTTTAGATCTGTGAGACCTGAGAAGCTGCCTGGGCATCTCCTGTGCCTCTCTTACCCTGCTGGTGTGGGTGCCAGCAAAGCGTTCTGCCATTCCTTCCCCCTTGTGCTTTTATGCCCTTGAATTGCAATTTGTTCTCTGTTCATACTGTCCCCAGTGGTTATGCTACAAATCTCTATGCCAATATGAGCTAAAAGAATAAAATTCAAAATCAAGAATAAACACCTCCTAAAGAGGACTTTATCACTAGGTAGGGAAGTCACCACACTTGATCATGGAATGCCTGCTAAGTTCTGCACAATTCACAAAACAGATTCAGTGGAGGCTCTCATGCACTGAGGATTTGTCATCAGAAAAAGTAAAACAGAACTGAGACTCAAAAATGTCAAACTGTTGTGAAGAACTGAAGAATTCTCTCCTGTTAGAAAGCACAGTGTGCAAATGACAGCTTGCAATACTTTTACAGAGTAGCTCTTAAAAAACCTTCACTTGCTCTCACCTGGAAAAACATTGATGTTGCAGTCTGAAAGGACTGCAGTCAGGGAATGCAAGGAGGAACAGAGTAACTGAAGTTTTACCATCATCCCCAAGGAGGAAAATTAAAAGATCCTTGTTTTTCTGTCTTTATGATGATAGCTGAATACAATATGAAATGTGCAGGTTTTGTAATGCAGTAGCTGAGCTACAGAACTGCATGATAGGATAATAAAACCTACAAATTTTTCTTATTCCAGTTTTGAAAGACAAAAATAGTATAAATATTTTCATCCTGGTAGAGCATGAATCATCTGTCCAAGGCTACATTGGATACTAATTAATATATTTCTCTTCTGTCACCCCTATGCAATGTTAGCAAGACGTCATGATAATCATTAAGTAAAAAAGATGTCCTGTGAAACCTTTTCTAAATATTTCAGATTATCAGAGACACCAGTAGCTGTAGTAACAGTGGTACTGACAAGACAAGAAATGAATCTGACTTTTTTAATTTCTGCCTTAGTGTGAAATTTGAGTCAGTTTAATAGTAATTCACTTTTTACCTAGCAAGTTGTCTGTACCTTCTGTAAGGGTTAATTATGGATCCATTTTATAGGCCCTGAAAAACAGCATCATTCATCTGTTTCTTGCAATAGCATAGCAGTTAATTTATTCAGTGCAAAAATGAAAATTGAACATTAGCATACATTGAATGATAGAGAATGATATAACCGAAGTCTAATTTTATAGTTTTTATGGTTTGCATGGAAAAGGGTAGAAACCTTACAAATTCCCTTTTATGGATAGCTAAGTCTTTTTTTTTAATTGAATTTAGATTTAATTCTTTACAGCTGAAGTGTTAGTTACTTGTGATGAAGCCCACCTACTTGAAACATCTATTTTAGGAAGAGATGAATCACTTCTTGTTGTGCCTCTCTTTCTCTTGACTATGGATGAAGCATAAGGGAATATTCATCTAAAAATAAGACATCTAATCTAAGCTAAAGTTAGGCCAGAGGAATCCTAGGATAACTGCCTAAGTATGTAGTATCATTTAGTGCTTAAAAAAATGAAGTCATGTTGGAAAAATGGAGCACAAGAGACATGTTTTTAAAATACATCTCTCAGCAGATATTAGGCATCTTAACACCTTTTGAAGTGAAAAGGATTAAGGAATGCCTCCAAAGCTGACTTGTGACTCCTATAAATTTGGTATGCTTTAGGTAGGGTAATATTGGTATTACTGAGCCTTGAAGACAAAGATAAATATAGTCTGCAAAAAAGTCTATAAAGGTATTTTACAGTACTGTGATAGCACAGCCATCCAGACTCTATTAGAATTTTGCATAACTGTGAACATGTGACCAACAAATGGGCAAAGACAGATGTGTTTTTATACGGAAGGCACACAAGTGACAAGAGTTGCCAAAGGAGAAGATAATGACACTGGGTTGCAAATTGGTGTGACATCTACCTGAAGAAAGAAAAATGGTCGTAAGTGCTATGGAGAGAAAGAGAAGCCATGTCTTGGGAGCAGAGAGCAAAGAGCATAAAAATGCCTTTCTATGTAGAGAAAACCACAGAAGAAAGAATAAATGGCCTGACACTCTTCTTTTCTTTTTTTTTTTTTTTTTTTTTTTTTTTTTCTTTTTTCTTTTTCCTTTTTTCCTTTTTTTCTTTTTTTAACCACTGGGTACCTGGAAAGCAACATTTCTGAATCATAGATTACTGGATTGCTGCATATTGCAAACTAACAAACTTGAATCACAGAGTCAAGGCTTAAAGTGTCAATAAGCTGTGGCCACAGGGAAGCATGTGGTAAAATGATACCTTTGATAGGATGGTCATGCTGCTCAGCAGCAGGTAATGAGATACACAAGGCATACACATATTTTGAGGAAGACAAAGAGGCACAAAAAACCACCACATTCTTGGTTTGTACAACCTTCCAATAACTTTTCTAAAGCAGCTGATGTCTTAGTTAAGAAACTGAACATATAGCTCAGTGTACCTTGCTGTTGAGTTGTGCCTTAAAATACTAGTCAGTCTAAAAATGTGTGAGGCTTTATTAAAAACATATTTCAAACACTTGTAGCTCTAGAGAGAGTGTGTTCCACATCCCTAGTGTTTACAATATAGCCACTTTCCTATTTATTTGCCTTCATGCTTTGTGATCATTCATAGCTACTAACACAGAGATGCAAGAAACAGTCACCTCCCTTATCAGGTACAGGAATAAAAGCTCTTTATTCAAAGGTAACCTTTCTTAAAGAAATCTGACAGCAACACTACCCTTACCCAAATGACCTGTGACTGAGCAGTTACTAATTAACAATTTTTTCTATCTTATTATCATCACACTGCAGGATAGATAAGAGACTAACATTTTTGCTGCTCTTCTCTGCCTTTAGTAAAACCTATAATTTTAGTTAACTGTGTTACTGAAAGGGAAGGAAACATCCATTTGCCATAAAGACATGGGAAGACCAGGCCAAAAGGCCACAACTCTAAGTTGTGCTCACATTAATGACCCAGTATGAAAATAAGGATAATTGATTCAACAGAAAGCAGGGAAAAAAATGTCTTGTGACGTTCTTGTTGCAAGCAAATATGGTAGGTAATGTATGCATCAGGGAATTAGGCATCACTGTGGTGGAAGTGTAGAGGACTCATATACCACCTTAACATCATATTTTAAAACAAAATTTACCAAGTTCACTCATTACAAATCTTTATATGCTAAAGTAGTTGTGAGTATAGAATGTTATATGACTAGATGTGTGGTTCTTGATGATTCACATTCACTGGTGTGAATTTACACTGCTCATTCACTCACTTAAAGCATTGATCCATTGTGTCTGGTTGTGTTATGTCAGTTTTATGAAGTACTTGTATATAGTTGTTAGCTAAAACTACTTTAGGATGCTTATATTTAGGTTCAAGGCACATTGATAGTAATTTTTTTCCTACTTAGTGGAAATGCCTACAATTGATAGATGTCACAGGCCTCCTTGGCTGCACTGCAATTCAAACAGTGCAAATAAAAACTCCAAGATTTTGAGGTACAACATCAGCTCAGTTGACTCCTCAAAATTCTATTTTCTACCAGCAAGCAAAGACTTGGTTTTCTGGTTACCATGCTAAATTATGAAGATTTAACACCAAAAATAATTTTTTCCTAAAAAATCTTTTGTCAGTAGATGCTGCCTGGATATGGTACATGCAAAAGTGCAGTTTCATTGTCCTGCAGTGGCAATCCTACATTTTTGATCAGTGCCACAATGCTGTCCCCTCAATTAAAAAAGGAGACTAAATCATAACACACCAGAAACATTCTTATGTTCATTATTTATTACTATAAGTATGTAGGAATTATAGTCTGCAGAGAAAGCGAGGTTGCTCTGTAATTAATTTTTTGTATACTGCTTCACTTGTCATAGCTTAGCTCCCTAAATCCTAGGGAAAAGCAGTTTTCTTGAACCACAGTTTGGAATCTACTGCAAATTCTGAGGTGTTGGGTCCTTTTCAGCAGATGGTATGAACAGAAATTTGCTCATGTGTTAAATCTTTCTGTTTGGTGTCACAACTCAGTCATTTCTCTCAGGGTTTTCCTTATGTCGTGCTTTAACCCCAGACAGCAACCAGGTACCAGGCAGCTGCTCACTCACTCCACTCCACCTTGACCTGGTGGGGAGGAGAACTGGAGGGAAAGGATAAAGCCCATTGTTTGAGAGAAGAGCAATTTAATAATCAAAACAACAATCTGATCATACCAATAATGACAATAAAAGTTGTAGTACTGAGGAGTGATAGAGTAGCAGAACCCAAGAAAAACTAGAGATGTACAATACAATTGTCCACCATTCCCTGACTGACAGCAGTCCCTGACCCTACCTAGCAGCAATTATCCCCTTTCTGGGTAACTCCTCCCAGTCTATGTACTGGGCATGACATTCTGTGTTATGGGATGCCCCTTTGGCCTCTTTATGTCACCTGTCCTGGCTGTGCTCCCTCCCAGCTTGTTGTGCAGCTCCTCACTCTCAGAGCATAAGATGCTGAAAAGTATTGACTTAGTGTAAGCACTACTTAGCAGCAACCAAAATTCCCATGTGTAATCAGCATTATTTTCATACTAAGTCCAAAAAAACACAACACTGCACCAGCTACTCAGAGAAAAATAAACTCTGTGCCATTAAAAACTGGGGCATCCTGGGATTTATGGGGAGCAGACTGGCTACAGAATACTGCTTAGAAGTGTATGTCTTTAGGCCCAAGATAAACATATTTTTTCATATCAAATAACTTTTTTTGTTAGAGAATATATCTAGATATGACTAGAGTGCAGATCTTCAGCCTTTCTAAAAATCGATTGCCCTCATGCAAAAAATCAAGCAAGTCCTTGTCAATAAAGCAATATGCCTGCCTAAAAAAAAAGCTGTATGGTGGCCTGTCCTGTCACATACTGTTTCCCATCTTTTACTGAGTACAAGAGATATTCATTAGATATAGACCAGTAAGCATTCAGGAAGAAAAAAAAAAAAACAATTGAGAAAAGGCTGTAAAACAATGCTGTTCAGATCTCTACAAATCCATTAATGTTGATTTTGATCTTCCAGTGCTGGGGCTGTCTTTACATTTCTATTTTATTTTGAAGCTTTGCTGCCCTTGGGGTTCTCCGGCAGGAGCAGCATTTTGTGACATAATTTGTAAAGGTATCTGCATGCCTTGACAAGGTATTCCTAGCAGTCTGCCTGGGAGGCAGATGTGCCTGGAGCAATTCTACAGCTCGACAATAGACACATATGGGATGTTCCAGGCTAGGGGTTTCACCAACCTGCTGGGTGCTTCCACTGTGCCTGAAGTATACTCTGAGCTTTTCTCATGTAGGGCTTGGCACCTAGACAGCTTTCCCCTCACTCTTATCACCACTCACTTCACGTGGAACATACACACATACTATGCCCACTTTTCACTGGTACGGGTGTGCATTGTCATAAAAGCCAACGGCGCTTCTGGAAACTTACATTGATGTTTTAATAAAAAATAATCATTAAAGTCAATCTTACCTTAGATATGGGTCGAACACCTTGGCATTTGTTCATTTTGGCTCTGCCAGTGTCCAAAAAAAATACACCGATCAAGAAACAGGACTGAGATCTGAGTTTTTTCACAGTATTCAGGAGTAATGCTTAGAGGACTCAGCGTGTGAAATATTATATTTGTCAGAGAACACATCCCTGCCATGATGCAGAAAACAGAAGACTCGTCCAAAACAAAATCTCATTCAAAACACATTCTAAAATTAAATTGATTTACATTCATAATACTGGAAAATATTATACTTTTCTTCCTACAGTCAATAATTCTGTTTGCCCCAATAAATCCAGCTAAGTTGAAATGGGATACTTGATTACCCCAGCACAACCTGGCAACTTTAAAGAATGAGTGTTCCAAGCAATTACTCATAAAACCTTTTTCTGTGCTGTCCAGATAGGAAACATCTCTTCATCAGAGAAGAGAGAATACCAGAAGCTCATAAGGTCAGGGCTGCTTTTCTATTTTTTTTTTTTCCTTTCTTAAAGACATTCTCTTGTATATAAAGTTTGCTGGTTTGGCATTGATACAACATGTGCTCTTATGATATAGAGAGGAAATCTGTCTGCTTGTCTCAGTGTTTATATTTATATAGTCACTGCTCAGCCCTAAAGCTGTTCTTCAGATCTCTAGCTAAAATAAATGTCACACACTGCTGAATTATTACAAAAATAATTCTGTTTATTTACAAATATGACAACAAGCTGGTAACTTACTGAGATTCTTGAAAGGATTTTCAGTTTTTACAGAGATATGTTCCAGCTAGGCTATTTCCACTCTCCCTGAATATTGTATTCTAAATCCAGCTATTAGCCACTTGCCAATAGATGTGTCCAGTCTCAGTAGCTATGTATTACGATGGATATAAAGGACATTATTAAGTATTTGGAAAATACTCTCAATGAAAGATAAAATTTCTCAATCCCTTCTCACTTTTTATGACTGTACTTGGCAGCAACTTTTATCTCGTCTTCCAAGGTACAAAAGGATTAAAACATGATGAGAAAATGAGAATTAAAAGTGAGAATGAGATTTAAAATTATAGTGTATGTTGATAATGTAATATGATAACAATGAAATGCAGGATATTTTTGCTTAGTGCCAGTATTTTACCATGCACCATCTATTTTTTGCACACTTAACAAAGAGGATCCATTTCCCAATGCACACATTTTCTTTTAAAATCTGCAAAACCAGCAAAATGTTTATCAATGCACAAATAAATGCAACAGCAATCTCTCCTGTTTAAAACAAAGGTATTTGTTCTGTATTTCTCTTGGGTGATTAACATGAGCAAGAAGAAATTGTCATGAGAGAGAGTAAGGGAGAGAGAGCACATGAGATTGGAAAAAAAAATATCTAATGATTCAATTATTGTTTATTTAAATATTTTGGAATAGTCAGTATGGCTTTGTCTACAGGACTACACCTGACTTGTTCCAAAATATTTCAGGCAGTGAAATAATTTCATTAAATAGTTCGTCACGGTGATCCCAACCAAAATATAGATTAAGGCAGAGTAAATAATTTTAATGTGTATCAATATTGATAAACCTCTTTTGCAGTAATTGGCATGTGATATTCACATTTATAAACAGGTGAAAAAAAAAAGGCTGAGAGAGTAAAATAAGCAAAAAAGAAGAGAAGGAAAATACTTCTGACAGTTTCTTTCCTGTTTTTTTCTAATCAGCTTGTATAAATTATCAACATTTGTACATAAAATATATGTACATATGTTTATATACATGTATATAAAAAATATTTTTATATCTTTGTTTTGTTACTAACAGTTATGAACATAAATGAAGGATAGTGACAAATCTACTTACAGGATTTCTATGCTGATTAAAGGCATATTTACAAAAGCTTTGTCCAATGTTCTTCAAAAAATAGAACTTTCCAAGGGATTATAAAATCTATTCAGTACAGAAGCCCTTCAGGAGCTCAAAACATTTGGCCTTAAAGAAAGTGCAGGTAGCTCATTATGGAGTATATGTACTCACAAAGAGACACAGAAATGCAGCAAAGTTTATTTTCTTCGTATATCAAGATGGCAAAAGGTGTAACGTATGTTCTCAATGTATAATGAAGTCATTTCAGAGGGTATAAAGGAGGGCCTTTTCCTCCAAAAATGATTATTAGAATGCAGAAATCACATAGGAGCTGTGACTACATTGCGTTGGATATTCTTATTTAGAACAAATAACCAGGATCAATTTGAAAAGGTGAGGTGTACGTATGTAACATCAGTCACACATTGAGCTCTTTCTGGTGTTATAAATAAGGATTTTATATTGCACTGTCCAATAATATTAGTGAAGCTGTTTGATGAAAAGTAGAAATTTCCATCTAATGTCAAGGGATTTTAGTAGATAGGATAATAATTCATCCTCTCCTTCTCTCTTTAATGAACTCATCACCATGATACCTGACAGCCATATTAAAAACCACAGAAGCCAGAAAAAGCAAAAATCCTTAACTGAGTGGCCTTTCAGCTTCTGCCTCCAACACTGATTGATGCCTTAAAGGTAAGAATGTAGTGGATTGAATTAGATTTTCTTTTTAGATTTTCCTACCCAGCTCTCCACTTTGCAAAAAGTGGAATTACAAATACAATCTTACCTTGGTGTGTCACTTTGTGCTGGACACCAGGAGCCCACACTTGGGACAATATCAACAGCTGCAGAGGTTTTGGTAACTTCTGCAGAGAGATTTGTTTCATTCCCTTTCCAAACTTAGTGGACTGCTACAGATCTCAACTCTGTAAATTACAAGCAGCTCTTTTCATAATTCAACTCTACCAGTGCAAATGTGAAATTGTTGAGACATTGTGTTAATCTTCTAAAGCTGAAAACCAATTTAAGAAATAATTCCCCACGGAATTCAGGTGAGAACAGATGAATGTAGTGTGACATGTAGTTAGGAAAAAAACTAAAGAATAATGCTAGTTACTAAACTGAACTCTGAAATAGAGGTAGTGGAGAAACATATATCATATGCATTTTTAGTTTCCGTATTATCAAAAGAGCCCAACAATATAATTGCACTCATCTAACAAAAGAAAACAAAGACTTTTTATTATTTCTCTTTTAATTGGAGTTCAACACCCTAACTGGATATCTTTGACCTTATTTAGATCAACACTTTAACTGTCCTTCTAAGGAGCTTTGGATTCTTTGTCCAGACTACAGTCTTCTAGCAAATGTGTATCTGAAATATGTGATGACCACTGATACCCAGTACTCCAATAGAAATCAAAAAATATAATGTGTCACAAATTTATTTTTCCCTCCAGAAAAAGGAATCTGAGGGTAGTAGTAATTTGCTCTTTCTTGTATAAAACAGCTCTAGTTTTCCATAGCTTGGCAAATAATAACATCTAAAATAAAATATGAGAAGGGACAATGCATTTCAGTTTTTGCAGCATTTTTCAGAGAATTTCAGAGATAACAATAGTTCTTGTGTGGAGAAAGGGGAAAGAAAAAAGCCTTTTGACTACACTAGAGTGCAGAAAAAACCATATACAGTTTAAAAACATGAAAACAGTATTTCCTGGATGCCAGAGATAGTGGAAAACAGATGCCCTGGGATCTGCCCACACATCAGCAAAAACACTGGGCTTTCAGCCACAATAAATTGCTGGTGTTAGATTAGCTTCAGGGGAAAAACAACCAAAACCAAATAATACCACTTATCTGTACTTGTAAGTTTCAAACCAGATTTTCCAAAGTGGCAGAAAAAGTCATCAGCACAAAGAGTCAGCATCAGAAAGTTCAACAAAAAAGTGCTTGCCCCGAGGTCCCATTAAAAGAAGTTTGCACACATCTTCTCCTAATTGGGTCAGCTTATCAATTTTGAGGTTGAAATTATTGATGGTATAAAAGAGATCCGACTAGCTCTTTCTTTGGCTAAAAACATGAACTATAACCTCTAGAAGTGTTCAGACCGGTACTAAGAAGGAAGACAAAAAATATAAAGCATGATAAATGTGTTATTTTTGCAATAATTTTAATCAATTGACACCTTGGTTGTATTAAATGAAAGAACAGATTCAACTAGTATGACACTTTAATTTTTCTTTTGATGGGATTATGAAAATGTAAAACCATTTAAAACAATTCTGTGGCATAATTCTTATGTGAAAGAGGGACATGGGGAAAAGTTACTAGTTTGTGTATTTTCTATATCTCGACCTGTGGTTCATCAACTAAATTTAGAACTCAAGCAGTAGAAAATCATTATGGACAAATTTTAATCTGAGATTTAAATAAAAAAATATTAATTCATGTCAAAGCTGCAAAAATGTTTTATTTGAGCTTCTAAAACATCAAACTTTTTACAGCTCAGGTCTTCCTTTATGTCTTTACTGGTGAACCCAATTGGAATTTGCAAAGAAGCATGAGAATTTCAAAGCCAAAATTAAAAATTCTGTTGAGCGCTCATAGATACAGAAGCCTGTAGGTTTGTATGTAATCTCTGCAATTTTCTTACATAAGTCATGATTAAGAATCCAGTGCAGCAGTTTTTGATTTGCTAAACCACAGAATGGGCTTTGGTCTTGCAGTTAAGGAGACACACTGATATTCCTACAAATTACTACAATAGTTCCTTTTAATTGAATGAGAGCCTGCTGAGAAGAGAGAGACAAAACAGGTTGGAGATGAGCAAAGTAAACAGAAGCTTGCAGAAATACAGGCTTTTTGCAAAGATTCACTGTTACTGCCTCAACTACTTTAAAAATAGACAAGTGTACAAAGAAGTAACATATGTAAAATCTTACATTAAAGTGAGATTGACTTGTTTAGAAGCAGTAATACAGCAGGAAAGCAGCCTGCAGCCAGCAAAAGTGCTGCACAGAGGGAGGCTTATCCAGGCAAACAACAATTCACACCTGTTTATTACTCTGAATAGGCTTGCACACAATGCTAGGCATGGCATTTATCCATTGTTTGGAAGCAATGCTAATGTAATCTCTTACACTATTGTTATAAGCAAAATGAAAGCTTAACATGAGTCATTTCCTTGCAAATCATCAATTAACTCATCATAGCATTTGCCAGAGGACCCTTAAAGATCCAGAATGATAAAGCTATGTAAATAATATGTATTTCAGGTTTGCTGACAATTATGGCAAAGTTGTTGATGGTGAAATTGCATAAACACTATATTTCAGGTAAATTACTATTTAAACCATCATTAGTTACTTAAAGTACACGGTACATGTTTGTGCCAATAATAATTTAAAGAAAACAACTCACACCTCACAGAAGTTTTAGTTACAATTCAATCATTTTCTAATCAGAAAACATATTAATTAAATTGGAAAGTTTTAAAACAATGTTTAAGTAATTTGAGCACCAGTCAAAATCTAACCATTTATCTTGACTATCTTGACTTTTACAGTTTAATTCTAGTTTTTCATGATAATGCTTGGATAAACTCAAACTCAAACCATGAAATATTTTGGGAATTCTTGCTTTATAAATATTATTTAACTAAAAATACATTTTCTACCTGTATCTACTTGTGTACCTAAAACATTTTTTGAGCAGCATTAGCAGTCCTGTCCTTAATGTTAAACACTAACATGCTCATTCTCCCAGCAACTCTGACAGCGGTTTTCAGAACTGAAGGATTATAAAAATATTGTCTCTGCTATTTGTGCATTCAAAGTGTCCAGGCTGAATATACTGCCAGGCATTCTGCACATTAAAAATCATAGACTATATAATCACATTGAGAAACTCTTTAAGACTAATAGGAGTCTTAAAGGATAAAACATACTCACAGGGAATTGATAAAAAAATGATATTTGTACAGACTCTGAATATGAAGAGGACTGTTCTGATTTTTTGAGAGTTAAAAAGCAGTAAAAATCCAAACCAAATGACAAAAAAAACCCAACAACATCCAGGAGTTTTGCAGTGGGTCAGTAGGGAGAAAATGTAGACATACCATCTGTCATCTAAAAGCATTAAAATTTCAAGATGATATATTTTATGCTGGTCTTTTCTCTTTCCACAGAAAGAGGAGATCTGCACATCTGGAGACTTATTTACCTTTTTTCCCAATTCCATCTATATTGACATTAATTTTACTTTAAAAGCAACTTCCTACTGATTTTAGAGAATCTTAATGACTGGAATGACATAAGATCCTTAGCTTTTAGTGCTCAGGGAACATGAATCCATTATGAAATATTTGTACTTATTAATATATATTGTCCACAAAAAAAATGAAGGGATCCTGGGCAATATATTCACCATTGGCTTGGTTTTGCCCTTCATTTGAATGAAGAGTTCAAAGGAATAAGCCTGGTAGTCAAAGTTCACTGCCAATATGATTTCTTTTGTCAAACAGCTTTTCACTTGGGTAACTAACAGTGAAAAGGCCATTATTTGTTATTAAACCCAGAATGATTGAGGCTGGAAGAGACGCCTTGAATTCTTCTTTTCCAGACCCCTGCTAAAGCAGGGTCAGTTACAGCATGCTGCCAAGAACTGCCAGTCAGCTGTTGAATATCTTCAGGGATTTAAATTCTACAACCTCCCTGGACCTTTTCCAGTGTTCAACCCCCCCATATAGTGAAAACATTTTATCTCACATTCAGGTGTACTTTCCTGTGGCTTTATTTGTGCTAATGTTGGTCAGTAACAGCTGATCAAGTTTGTTCAAGGACGAAATAAATTCAGAAAACTTTTAAGTGATTATTATTCCAAGTGTTTTTCTGCAATGATGATTATTAATCGGACTTGCACTTGGCCATATTTATAAAATGTTCAATTATACTCACTGGAATTCCCAATGCTAATAACTTTCCATGGTGCAACCCACGTGTATTAAGTAGACTTTTCTGTACTAATGCCTTATTAAAAAAACAATATAGAAATAGATAAATTGATCAGTGGTATGACTAATGGTGGGGTTTGCCTGTGGCATTGATATCAGAAGAATATAAAAAGTTTCACAGCAATAATGGGTTGGTCTTGAAGTCCTGACAATAGGTTACCAGAGCAAAGGAGCAGTGAAGAGCTCCCAGGATAAAAAAAAATTAAAAAAAATAATGTTTTTATTTTGTTGACAATTAATTCTTCAGAAATATTCAAACAGAATTTATAATAAAATATAAGGTTAGATAATAACTTGGTGGTGGCTGATGGGATGAAAAAACCACCTTGGACTACCTTAGATCATTAGAATTTGTGTATATAAATTAGATTATAATGTGCTAGACCAAGACCACCAGGGACCCAGGGTGCTGACTGGCTCTTGCACACCATATGAGAGAACCCTGCTTTAGGGAAAAGTTTTGGTGATGCAGATTGTGCAGCTATAAAGCCTTGCACAGATCATCTTACTGCCCCCAGCAATGGAGAATGGGATCAGACAGGATTCCAGTTTATCTGGTGCTCCCCACCATTCTCTCCAGTGTCCAGGTGGTAAGCGACTCAAAAGTGCAAAGATACAGGGACATGATCAAGGACATAAGAGCTGTGAGTTCCTTGACTGGTAAGTATATTTCATTTCTTCCATGGGAAATAATCAATGGTGCGCACAAGGAAAAATGGTATTAGAATTTGTTTTTCTAGCAGGTAGCTGCTGGGTGTCAGAGGAAAAGACACCTTTGTTGATTCATCAGAGCAGAGTGTGAGTAAGAGGTGCAAAGGGGTGGAAGCCCTTTTCTCTGTGTAGATGCTCAGTGCTGAGGGAACATGCACCTTTGCTGATGAATTTGGAGCTGATACAGGTTATATACACATACATGCAGATATATGTATTTATACATACACACAGAAAATACACAGGTGCCCTTAAGTCAAGCAGAGAGGACAGAGGGTTCACCACTTTTTCCACATGTTCCATTTAGTACTTCAGAAGTGTTGAATTGGAAATGATGTGTTGGTTCACATAGGGAGAATCCTGGAGGAAATTATCAGCTTTTGGAAATTATCATGATGCCTCATAGCCCTTATTGAGGGGAAGTGCAGGCTATATTGAATGCCTTTCTACTGCAGAACTAAAAAGAATGGTACTAGATAAAGTGAAAGGATATACAGAGGTTTTAGGATCTGAAAGGCAGCTCCTTTTGACCTGAATCAATGTGCTGCTTGTAGGCAGCAAGGACATTGGAAAAATTAATGCTCTAGTAGGGAAGGGAAGGATCAATCCGAGGAAATTAATGTTATGGCGCTAGAGGATTCTGACAATGACTGAAAAAGACCAGCTGAAAATATGAAGGCATCCCCAGTCGATCCTCGAATTCCAATAAAGCTGAGGAATGAAGCAATAGATATTTTTTTTTTTTAGATAACAGAGCCAGTAATAACTAGTTGTAGGGCCCCACTAAGTAAATACCAACTGTTGCAGTGATGGGAATAAGAACTTCAAAGCCATTCTTACATTACATTCCTTACATTACATTACATTCTTACAACCTGTAAAATGTACCATTGCTCATATTTAACTGATTTGTGAGTATTTAGATTATATATATGCCAGCACTTTCTCTTCCATTGTTGAGATTAAATTTATTATGCAAGTGATATTCTCAAGTAACTTGTGAAAACTCTGTACAGCTACACATCCCAAAAGAAATGCAATGGAAAACTCAAATCTACTAACAAATGGGCCAGACCTTGGAAGAACTTGAGGGTGATATCCCTTATGTGGCATTGAATGTGGTAATTCCCTAGGATGTGCTTCAAAGAAGCCAGGTAGAGCAAAGAATGTGACTTCACTTAAAACAAAACTCAAACTACTGGCAGAGCCAGTGAGAGTAAATCAATATGCTATTAGACTGGAAGCACATAAAGGATTGGAGTCCTTGATAAATACTTTCTTGAAGTATGGATTGCTTAGAGAGTGTCAATCTGAATTTAATACTCCTGCTTTACCAGCAAAGAAGCCTCATTCTTCAGGACTGGTACAGGATTTAAGAATAATAAAACAAGTAACATGGACCCTTGTTACAAGTAACAAGTAACCTTGTCTATACTACCAAACTCCAGGTCTCACAAGCGTGGAGCTGATGAGGAGAATCTCATTCCTCAACCTGCTGGTCATGTTTTTTTGATGCAGCCCAGGGTATGGTTGGATTTTTGGACTGCAAGTACAGATTGCCAGGTCATGTTAAGCTTCTTCTCCACCAAAATGTCAAATCCTTGTCCTCAGGTCTCCTTTTAATCTATTCTTGACACAGTGTTTGTTTGTGCTTGGCATTGTGGCAATCCATTGCTAGATGTGTTTTATTAAAATATTGTGAGTTCAAGTTTGACACACCTAAGCTCATTAATGTTACTGTTTTTTTTCTTTCAGTTACCCTTTGGTCTTCTACTTCCATCTCTTCTGCCAAGGTGCCGAGGACAGCAGCCCGATAACTCTCAGGGTTTGGTTCCACATGTGGCCTGAGAAAGTACCAGTACTGTGCCATCTTAAAGCAATGTGTTTGGTGAATGCCCTTGAATGGGTGCATTCTCAAACTCTGCATTGTGCTCAGCATCACTTGCATGGCACTGACCTTGCAGGTTTTCCACAGCAGCTTGCTGTCTTTGCTTGGGCCATAACGAGCTACATTTGTGTGAGGAGCTCTGAGACCTTTGTCAAAGAGCACTGCATCAAAAAGCACAAAATCTGCCTACACATCACCAAAGAAACCTAAGAGGCTCTTGGGTTTCCTGAGGTTAAACCAGTTTACATTAGTTCTGAGTGTTTTGCAGATTGTCACTTATTTGTCTCAATAGGGTGCAGATAGTGCTGGATGGCCATCTGTCCCCTGTTTCAGCTGCCAGCAATCAGCCACTTGGCAGGGCTAAACAAAGAATATCTCCATGATATTTAAAGACATACTGGACATTTTACTGGGAGATTCCTGACAGCAGTTCTATATTTAGGAAGCATTTTAGTTAAAAGAAGACTGAAAGTAGTAAGTGGAGTGCTTCGGAGTCAACCGAGTCTGAAGAATAAGTTGAAATAAACTTTGAGGCCATTGAGGCTTTTCAAGGATTTTAAAAGTTTAATAAATTCATTTAAAATGCATTTTTGTTCTTGAATTTTACAAATCAAGCCAACGTATAATTAGATTGTTATTAAATGAGTGTATTCTCCTACCTCATTTTCAAAATAGATTGAACTGAAGTGACATATATCTTCAGGTATCTTCTGACTCAGCAAATCTTCTTTCCAGAATGAAATGGGGGTAAATCTGAACTAGATCAAACACTATCCAAACAGTACAATTGATACTAATTTCTGTTTCCAAACATGCAAATGAGATAAACAACCAACCTTCTCCACACAAACTAAGAAATTATCTTCACAGTACTACAGAACACTGCTGAAATTTCAATGACTACTTGGCCATCATCACATAATCCCAAAGAGCAATGTTTTCCTGTTGGAATTTAAGAGAAAAATATTCCTCATTGCCCCTCTGTGTTTCAAATTCAAACAAATTTGGATAACCATGCACTAATGAAAGATACAAAACTTTCTGGTAGCTGGCAAGAAACACAAAGCAAATGCACAGGGGACTCACCATCAAATGAACATTCACCAGCAGAGGATTTAAGGTACCTCTGTATTGGATTTAGTCATTTAAGTCACTCTGGTCTTGAACAACTTCAGCAACACTTCCCATAGCTTATCCAAAACATTTCTTAAACAAAAGCTGCTTATGACTTAATTTAAAATAAAAGAAAAACAAGCCCATCCAAGAGCTGGTCTTTCTACAATGTTACAAGTATTTAAACACATTTTCCATTAAGTTCCAATATAGTTTCAATTTCTTTCCCCAGGCACAGAAAAGCGTAACACACTGTGCTATGTTACTGCAAAAATTATTTCTCTTGTAAAGGAAACAGGTATAAGACTGCTTGTAGCTTAAATTTCCTTAATATCCTGGACGTGTCTGAGAATTTTTGTTAAATTCTGATGTTAATCTCTTTCTGTAAATGAAAGCTGCCACTTTTATCACCTACCCTATCAAATCTGCAGAAAAAATAATTCATTCTTACTTTCACTTATTTGTGGGATTTTATTTTTTTTCCTAGTCTTGAAAGGATTTTGTAAAATTATCTTTGTTTTTTGTCTTTTTAAGTTGTAACTATGTAAGAGCTTTTACAGGTATATGATTATGTGATCAAAGTTACCAAGGAAATGTAACACTGCTTAGTCACTAAAAGCATTAACTCAAAGGAAACAAAATTCTTGTTCATCACTTCATGTACAAAAATCCCTAAATGAAAAAAATATAATTAAATGATTTAAACCCTAAAACCATTCAACAGATTACACTTATACTCTACCAGCATCAGGATGATTATGGTGGTTGATGGCCCAGAGAACATAACTTGAAGTTTTATGCAAGACTGATAAGCAGTAAGCTTCAAGCCAGTTTTGATAAAGTGATGCATTATTAATGTATAAAGTAAAGTATATTTGCTGAATATAATCCTGTGAGAAGATTTAAATTTTTGATGACAAAATCTGAAATCCTCAGACATTTTAAAACTCATGAGAGATGAAATTAGCATTAGAATGAGTCTGATTTCAGATTATTTTGAGTGATGACGGTATCAATTAAAACCAACACAAATAATCATGTAATCTTATTAAAGAAACCAAACAATTTTTTAGATATGAAAAAAAAATGCTGAACAGCATTTAAGAGACAGCATTGGAAACATAGTCTGCTGTGACCCATGGCTTTTGCTAAATTAAAAGACCACTGTTTCTTATCTGGATTTTTTTTTTCTTGCATCATTTTAGATATTTAGCTTCAAATAATAAATTATAAGGTATGCTTTGCTACCAGCATAAAATGGGCTTCATTAATACTAAATGCCATTTAAAATGGGGTGGTACAGACATTAAGCTCTTCAAAACACCTTTAATAGTAAATACAAGCAATAAATCCTATACTGTGAAATCTAATAGAAGAATGAATCTAGCCTTTAGATCTTAAGATTCACTATCACTGCTTAAAATCACTTTGGTTTGTGTACTGCAAGCATCAAGAACAGGTTTTAGCAAAAGTTTTCAAAGTATGATGCCAATAGCTTCAGCAGGTGACATGTAAAGTTTTAATGATACTGTTTCTGAACAAAATTATTATTGTTGCTGAAACAAAACACATTATAGACTTCATTTATTGAAATTTTTGGACACAAAAAGAAATCACAGGAGAGCTGAACAGATTTTTCACATGGATTTTTAGAATTAGTCTGCAGAAGAAAACAGAAAATTGAGAGCTTTGAAATAAGAGAGAAAGTGAGAAATTTTTATGAAATGGTCACAACTGCAGTTTTAGCAATTAAATATTCAACAACATAAAGGGAAAGGAAAACCTTCCATGTTTTGTATATATGCAATCCACATTTGCATTATATGACATCTCTTTTATTTATTTAAAACTAATGTCAAGAGGCTTAAAGAAAGACGTCAGATTCTCCTCCGTAATGATAACCATTCTTGTGGCATTTTCAGGAGCTGATTATTGCTCTCTAGGATTTTCCAGCTAATCTATACAAGTCACAGGAGACTGAATATAAACTGTGCTACATCAGAGGTTCTTGGCCTTCAGTCACCCGTCTTGCACCAGCTGCTTAGCAATCTTTTTCACCGAGATCGGAGGGTATGTGGATCCTGGGTTTGACTTGATGGGTGAACAGTCACAGCATTTACTGCATGAATAAATAATGCAGGCCAAATTCATGCTTTGTCTAATTCCATTAGAATGAATGTGCTTACTCCAGGGATCAAAGTAGTTGGTGGGTAAGTGTGCACAAGGGCAGTAAATTATGGTGGTATCTGCCTGCCTGGAGGATGTAAAATGTGAAATACAAAGAAATTTAATGGCTGGAGGTGGGGAAACAGTTTGATTTATAAAGAATGAACTAGATATTCAGTAATTGAGTACTGCTCTCTTAGACAGTGCTTAGGACAAATATAGGTATTTATGTTTCTTTTTGGCCTTTTTTTCGTCAAAAACGCAACATCAATTTAATTCTTGAAACAACAAAGGAACAAAAAAACCCATAATCACAGAGACTATCACCATCAAAAAAGTGTTTTCCTTGAATTCATTTTATTTGGTTTACCTGTTATCAGCCAATTTTGGTATTAAACTCACAGAACCTAGTCAAAACATAACAAATAAAGTTGAATGTAAAATAGAAAGCAGATTTCTCTGAAATTTTGGTCTCACTCACTCACTCACTCACTCACTCAATAATCCTGTAAATCCATGTGGCTTTTGACACAGTTCCCATTCCAGGAACTTTCTGTCTTATATATACACACACATATATACATACACATATAATTATATATATACACACACACACATATATATACACTTATATATACACACACACACACATATATATATATATGTACGAAATATTGTTGGATCATTTTACCAACAGTATAGTAAATATCAAGGCAAGACATTAAGGAGATGACTTCTGCTTGCTTCTCTATTAGCTTGATCAAAAATGTGTTCAACTTGCCGGAAAACTCCCACACAATGAAAGACTGGAAGAGACTCAAACTTATGAAAAACTACTCATCCCAGCTGGGATTAATTAGACAACTGACTCGTCTCATAGAGTAGAAACATTCCATAGCCCTTTAAAAACACTCCTAAGAGTTGTTATTATTAAGCCCCATTTAGGCTTTGACACTTGCATTTCATGTACCCTTAATTTAATTAAAAACAAACAAAAATCCCTTTGTTTTCTTTCTCACCTGAACTGCTGATCTACTATAGCTTAAAGAGATCTGTCCTTCTGTCCCTTTACCTTCATAAGTCATTACAAGTTTAGAATCATCACCTTCTTTCCTCTGGTTGAATAATCTGAGATTTATGCACCAGAAGGCAGAGAGAAGGATACTGGCTGATTTTCATAAGATAAAACATCAGAAGTTGGAAAGAAATAGTCTTGTTCCTGTGTTAAAGTAATGTTAAATTGACATGGCAAACACTAAGTACGTGAAACTTTAGAGCTTACTCTTCACAATTCCTTTTTGAAGAGGAAATGGGAAAGGAGAGAAAGAGAAAAGATTTAGCTTGATGTTAAAAGTACAAAAGGGGTAAATGTTTTATTGGAATAACTCAAGTTTCAGTAGAGCTCTCTGCATCCATTTGAAGTAGCTTCATTTCAGACACACTTAACACTTTGTTTATCCTGCTTTAGTTTCATAGGACTAGCTGTAGTAAATACACAGCCTACACCAGACACAGCTTATAGTGACAGAGTTTGAGATTCAAAGGTTACACAGCAGCAAAGGACCATAAACCCTCTTTATGTTAGAGGCTGGGAAGGAGAACAGAACTGCTACTGTGCCAGTGCCATATGAAAAATGGATTATTGTCAGTGGCAATGAAACAAGGCTATGATCTCCACCTACTCAGAGTTCCTTTCCAGCTTTTCTTCTCTGTCTAATCTGCTAGATTGAAATTTTATATTACTTTCAGTCCTCTGGATTTTGTTTAGTAAGTTTTTGGAACAACATAGCTTTGCATCATAAGATCATTAAATATTTCTACTTTATGCTAATATGCTCATTAGAGATAGTTGAGAATTGGAAAATTGGTTTGGAAATTATTTTTTGACAAAAAATATAAGTATACATTCATATATATATATAAACAACCAGTGATTATATCATTATGATTGAATTTGACTCAAATTATATGAAAGCATAACATTCCCTTGCTCTGCCCTTTTAACATACTTCTAGTTTTAAGAACTTCAGTTCTGAGACAGGGAATAATACAAAGAGAAACATCCTCATAATTTTTTATCTCATCTTTCTCCCTTTTTTAGATGGATCAAATATAAACCACCTGTTTTTGGACTGAAACAAGGCTGATATCTTAAATTATTAGCAATCACCTGTATCCATGCTGCTCTTCTGTTCCACCATTTGAGATAGCAATTCAAAGTTATAGCAGGTAACCTAACAAAACAATCTTTTTTCATCTTTTGGGGACAACCAGTCTTTATTGCACTGACCTTGTTTTAGAAAGCACAAGGAGTGTGGAAAACAGCTTTCAGATTAGGTGTGGTCAGCACCTGGTTGGCAATTAAAAGATTTTATAGTTGGTGAGTTCAGGCAGCTCTGTCATGGCAGGCATGCTTTTCTATCCAGAGGAAATTCTTGTTTAATATGCATTTCAGATGTTCCTGCTTTTCAAAATTTTACAGAGAGGCATCCAGCATTAGTGTGTCTTTTAGCTCAGTCTCATTCTTCCTCTTCAATTTATTACAGTTTTATAGAAATTACAAATGAGCTGTGGGAAGAAAGGGAGAAGATTTTTTTGGAATGCTTTAATATCCTGTCAGCAAGCTCTCCAGACAGAGTTAAGAAATTTTGATAGGATGGATGTTCTTTTTTCCTTCCTTCCATCTTCTTCCTTACTAAAAATAAAACATACCAAGATGCACCGTTTCATAGAAAATCATTCTGCAATAAAAAGTGCCCATTATAGAGTGTCAATGGGTGGGATAACACGCATAATTTACCTAGGGGGAGTATGCAATTAGAAAATTAACCTTTTACATTTCTCTCCCTAATTAGATGCAACAAATGACTACAGAATAACACATTAGCAGCTGTATTTACTGTATTTGCATGCTATTAACAAGAAATTGATTATGCT